GGAGGAGGAGGAGGAGGAGGAGAGGCTTGGTGGTACTGGTCGCTTGCACTCTCCCTCGGAGGGGCCATTTCTCCACAGGTCAACTCTCGTCCTCCAAGTACAAGGCCTCGCGTCCGGGTTCCGGGGAGCCCGAAACCGCGCAGCGGAGTGCGCGCGCCGCGCCCACCGCACAAAGTTTTCGCGCGCGGGCTCGAGAATCCTTTCCTCCTCCTCCTCCTCCTCCTCCTCCTCCTCCGCCTCCTCCTCCTCCTCCTCCTCCTCCTCCTCCTCCTCCTCCTGCTCGACCTCTTCGATTCCTGGTGCGGACGACATGGGACAGCACCAATGGGCACGACGCCCAACAGTAGCTGCTTTCCAAGAACTGGCAACGATTACTGAAGAACAGACGAACTCGCCATCGAATGGACAGCGTTCGCGCAGAACCCGACAGCGAGCTCTGCCCAAAGTGAGCAGGAAGTGCTGTCAGTCATCATCCCCATTCCTCTCGTACTCACTTCGGCCCTTGCAGGAACAGTGAGGGACGAAGTGGGGAGGAGATGGGAGGGGCGAGGAGGAATATCAAAGAGAAGGATGTTGGAAGGAGGAGGACGACGATGACTCGGAGGAAGGGGGAAGGAGGAGGAAGAGGAGGAGGAGGGAAAGAGGAGGAGGGGGGCCACAAGTGAAGTAGGATGCATCAACGATACTGCACTACGACATCCCGTCCTGAATCCCCTTCTCACCAGGGTGTTCAAGCATGCTCGTTCGCGTCGGAAAGCACCCCATTGAAAGACGAGAGCATCATGCGCCTGCTATTCAGGTGATGCCCCCTTTTTGAAAAGGAATCGCCCTCAATCCTCAAGGAGGGGCAACGGGATGAGATCACAACGTCCATGGAAGTGTCCAGCGAGATCCAAACTCTAAAAAGGAATCGCCCTCCATCCATCTAAATGTTCCCAATGCTTGTACAAGAGGTTGAAGAAATCATTAGCGAGATCCATCGTTTGACAACCACCCGCCATCCGTGCAACGAACGTTAAGATTGAAATGGCTGCCATCGAACATGGGCAAGGCTCAGGCGAGAGCCTCCAACGCAAAAAGCAGAAATCCGTCCATCCGTGCAATTGCTGTACGCGGCGTCAATAGATGAGCAGCCACAACCTAACAACGGACTCTACTCCATTCGTGCAACTGCCCATTTCTTACAATGAATATCCGCAGCGTTATGGCGATTGGCACATGTTGAAAACAGTTCGCCATCCATCTGCTCAACCATTCGAAATATTAAAACTACATGATGAAGAGGCTCAGGGAGGCATAACATATAAATGCACACAAATCCCAGGGATGCTCGCCTTCCCCTCCACTTTTCATATGTCCCATATATTCCTGGAAATCGACGGTTCCTTGTGTCTGTGTGTCTTCCCTCCTGAAGTGTGCACGGCGCTACGGCGAGAGCCACATCTTGACACAGGTCGCCCTTCCATGTGTTGACCCGTCGAGAGGTTCAAGCCCCGCACCGACAACGAGGAGGAAGGACCAAACACAAAAAAAACGCCTGGCCCGTCCTACCAACCCGCATGGCGGCGCGACGAGGGGGGAATCGTTTATAACTGAGAGGGATGGGGGAGTTCAAGACGAAGCCAGACAGATGATTAAATGGGGTGAGGATATACGGCAAGAGTCTCTGAGACCCCGCGACTCTGGAGGACATTTCGGGCGCCCCGGCCTCCTCGGAGCGCTCCAGAACGCTCGGAGAGCGCTCCGGAACGCTCTGGAACGGATTCATCCTCGTCCCAGCCCCGTCCGAATGGTCGGGGGCGGCCAGGAGGGGGACGTCCAAGAGGCGGGGGTGCAAATCATGGCCGGCGGCATGTGCACTGCCCAAGGGGGGGCCAGGGACGTGATCATATGAGAAGGGGCGCCATGAAGTCTGGGGAAACATCATGGCCCACGCCGTGACATCCACCCCCCCTATAGTCATCACCCTCCTCTTTGCCGACCAGCCACAACTGGGGGAGCTGTGGTCCTCACCCCCTGGGGCAACACATCGCATCGACGGCCTCTCGAGAGGGGTGTCGAGATCGGTGGGTCCCCAGGGGGGCACGACCACAGCTCCCCCAGTTGTGGCTGGCCTGCTTGGCCGCCCCCGGTGTGGAGGAGGGGCGGGGGAAGCGCCCCTGCGCGAGAGGCCTGCACTCCCTCCTCCTCCTCCTCCTCCTCCTCCCTCCCTCCCTCCCTCCCTCCCTCCCTCCCTCCCTCCCTCCCTCCTCCGCTCCTCCCTCCTCCCTCCTCCTCACTCCCTCACGTCCCTCCCTCCCCTACCTCCCTCCCTCCTCCCCCTCCCTCCCTCCCTCCCTCCTCCCTCTCCCCTCCCCTCCCTCCCTCCTCTCCTCCGCCCCTCCCTCCTCCCTCCTCCCTCCCTCCCTCCTCCTCCTCCTCCCTCCCTCCTCCCTCCTCCCTCCTCCCTCCTCCCTCCCCCTCCTCCCTCCTCCCTCCTCCCTCCTCCCTCCTCCTCCTCCCTCCTCCCTCCTCCCTCCTCCCTCCTCCCTCCTCCTCCTACCTCCTCCCTCCTCCTCCTCCCTCCTCCCTCCTCCCTCCTACCCTCCTCCATCCTCCTCCTCCCTCCTCCGGCCTCCCTCCTCCGTCCTCCCTCCTCCCTCCTCCCTCCTCCCTCCTCCCTCCTCCCTCCTCCCTCCTCCCTCCTGCACTCCTCCCGCCCCCTCCTCCTCCTCCCTCCTCCCTCCCTCCCTCCTCCCTCCTCCCTCCTCCCTCCTCCCTCCTCCCTCAGCCCCCTTCCCCCTCCTCCCTCCCCCCTTCCCCCTCCCTCCCTCCTCCTCCTCCTCCTCCTCCTCCTCCTCCTCCTCCTCCCTCCTCCTCCTCCTCTCCTCCTCCTCCTCCTCCTCCTCCTCCTCCTCTCCTCCTCCTCCTCCTCCTCCTCCTCCTCCTCCTCCTCCTCCTCCTCCTCCTGTGAATCCGGGCGGCCGGCTCAGTCTCCGTGGCCGAGGGCCTCCCTGCGCGGCTCCAGCCCCTCCATCTCGCGCACCTCTCCGAAGGGGCCCAGGGACACACAAGTAAGCAGGCACAGAGAACAGGATTCCCCCAATCTCCCCCTATTTTCTGGGCTTATGTCTTCCCCCCCATTTCCCAGATTTCCCCACATTCTCTGGGGGAATCGACGAGAAATTGTGCCTCTGTGTGTGTTCTCCATCTTGCGAACCTCTCGCGGGGCAGGTCTCGAGGCCGCGCACGAGGATCGGAGGGGGTGAGGGGGACGAGGGGCGACCAGGGGGAGGAAGGACAGGAGGAGAGAGGAAGAAGCAGGGAGGGGGGGGAAGCAGCTCCTCCTCCTCCTCCTCCTCCTCCTCTCCTCCTCCTCCTCCTCCTCCTCCTCCTCTCTCCTCCTCCTCTTCCTCCTCCCCCTCCTTCCTTCCTTCCCTTCCTTCCTTCCTTCCTTCCTTCCTTCCTTCCTTCCTTCCTTCCTCCTCCTCCTCCTCCTCCTCCTCCTCCTCCTCCTCCTCCTCCTCCTGAGGGACGAGAGAGGGAGGAAGAGGAAAGGGAGAGGAAAGGGAGGCGGGAAGAGGGAGGCGTCTCGAAGAGGGAAGGGGGGGGAATTCGGTAGGGAAGGTGAAGGCAGGAGAAGAGGAAACCTCGACTGACCCACCCAACACCATGCGCCCACGAGGCGCCTACGAGGCAGGGCACCAGGCGAAACCTCGGCTGTCCTGTCCAATTCCGCAGGAAGAAAGCAAGAAACCCTAACTGCAAAAACTGCTTGGGAAATCCGCCGACCCCGTCGGCGTGTGTGAGGCGCTTTTCCGTCGTCGTTGTCGTCGTCGACGCTCTCCCATTGACTCTTTTCCACTTGAGTCGTCGTCGTCGTCGTCGTCGCCGACGCCGCCGCCGCCGCCGTCGCCGCCGCTCCCCTCCTTTGCCTAAGCCCTCCTCAAGCGTTCAAGCCGGAGGGAAACCGAGCAACATCGGAATCGAGTCGAACGGAGGCCCCTTCCCTCCCTCGCCCGCGGGGGGGGGGGGCGGCGGCGGAGCGGGGAGGTCCCGGCGAGGAGGAGCATCCCTGCCTGGGAGAAGCGTTCCCCTTCGATCTCTTGCCTCCAAGACGCCTCGAACTCACTTGTACTGCAGCTTGCTCTAAGAGAGCCCTGAAACAGACCACAATCGCTCCAAGACGGCCAGAGATACCCTCAAGACCACCTCAGAAATCCCAAGACTCCCCAAGAAAGCTCCAAGAAGAGGTAGAATTCATGTATGCTCATTCATGTCTTGTATGCCTTTCGCGTCCTCGCCTTGTCGAGCTTCCGACGCTCCCAGACGGCCCAGGAAGCCTCTAAAATCGCACCAAGACGGCCCAAGAGGCTGCCGAAAGCGCCCCAACACACCCAAGACGGCCACAAGACGGCCCAAGAGGTCCCCAGACGGCCGAACGAAGATGGCCCCAAGAGGGCCCCAAGAGGCTGCAGAAAGTGGGAACACCAACCGAAATCTCGAGCCTTCCGCCCCGAGAGGCCCCAGGAGGCCACAAGACCGCCGAAGAAGCCCCCACGAGACCCCCACAAGGCCCCTAAGAGGCCCGAAAGAGCCCCCACAGCACTTCCAAGAGAATCCCAAGATGGTAAAATCCATGACTTTCATGTTTTATGTGTTTCGTCGTCGTCGTCGTCGTCATCGTCGCCGCCACCGCCGTCGTCGTCGTCGTCGTCGTCGTCGTGGTCTTCGTCGTCGTGGTCGTCGTCGTCGTCGTGGTCGTCGTCCGCCTTCAGCTCTCCGCAATATACGTTGCGACCTTGACTCATGCGCAGAGGGCCGCGATCAGTACACGGTGCTTTGTCGGCAGGGGCGGCGGGGAGGACAGCACCCGCCCGCCCGCAGCGTGCTGGAGCGCTGGCGGCGGAGCCGCAGCGCGGCCGCGGCGGCCCCGGCGGCCTGGCGGCGATGAGCGCGCGGCGCACGGCCCGACCGCGCTGCGCCGCGCCACCCCCGGAATGCTGAAGTGCAAAGTGTTCTCTGCCGCCCCGCGCACCCCTGTCAAACGCAATGCAGAGTGCTCTCCGCGGCGGAATTCTAGGACCGTTCCCGCGAGGGCGGGAACGAGGCCGCCGACTGCCCGAGAGGGGGCCCCGTGGAGAGCCGCGCGGACTGCCCGCTGGGGGCTGCCTGCGCGCAACCCCCGGGCCCTGCCCGTGGGCATTGCAGGCGTGTTGTTGGACCACCTCTCACGTGGAAGAGGAGGAGGAGGAGGAGGAGGAGGAGGAGGAGGAGGAGGAACAGGAGGAGAAGGAAGAAGGAGGAGGAGGAGAAAAAGGAAGAGGAGGAGGAGGAGGAGGAGGAGGAGGAGGAGGAGGAGGGGGAGAAGAGAGTGGAAGAGGAGGAGGAGGAGGAGGAGGAGATGGAGGTAAGAGGAGGAGGAGGAGGAGGAGCAAGAGGAGGAAGAGGAGGAAGAAGAGGAGAAATCTCTCTATATATACATATGTATATCTATAGATAGATGCACACATACATATAGATAGATAGATAAATAGATGTGAAAGGACGAGGGGCAGGAGGGAGAGGGGGATGAGGAGGCCCTTGACCTTCTGGTCGAGCTCGGCGGCAGTGAGCTCGGCCCACTCCTCGTCCACGGGCCTCCGGGCCGACATGCTCGACCCGGCCCCGGGGATCCTCGGCAGCGTCGTGGGCAACCGCAGCCTGTCTCGATTCCGACAAAGGCGAGGGGGAGGAAGAGGACGACGACGACGACGACGACGACGACGACGACGACGACGACGACGACGACGACGACGACGACAAGAACGACGACGAGAACGACGACGACGACGACGACGACGACGACGACGACGACGACGACAAGAACGACAAGAACGACGACAACGACAAGAACGACGACGACGACAAGAACGACGACGACGACAAGAACGACGACGACGACGACGACAAGAACGACGACGACGACGGCAAGAACGACAACGACGACGACGACGACGAGAACGACGACGACGACTACGACGATGACAAGGACGACGACGACGACGACGACGACGACGACAACGACCAGGACGACGACGACAAGAACGACGACAAGGACGACAACGACGACGAGGACGAGGACGAGGACGAGGACGAGGACGAGGACGAGGAGGGCATCCCCAGCCTCGCTATTCGCGCGCGGCTGGAGTTCTGCGAGAGGCGGAACTTCAGCGCCTGTCGGTCCACCTCCTCGTCCTCTCGTGGCGGGGGGCGGAGTCTGGATGAGGTTGCGGGGGGGAGGGGGGGGGGCAAGTCTGGATGACGCGGGGGAGAAGGAGGGGAAGAGGGGGAAGGGAAGAGGGAGGAAGGGACGGGCGAACGAGAGGCGAATGCGAGGAAAGAGGGGGGAAGGGAAGAACGAGGGGGAAGAGGGAGCGGGCGAGGAGCGGGCGAACGAGAAGGAAAAGGGAGGCAAGGAAAGGAGCTGAGTAGGAGGAGGAGGAGGAGGAGGAGGAGGAGGAGGAGGAGGAGGTCGCGATCCTCCCACTTGATGGGGTCGATGGTGGGCTTGGCATTCTGCAGGCGCTGCAGCAGCGACTGGTTCGCGTCTGTGATCCTGTCTAGCTCCCTGCGCTGCGCCACGCCGTGGAGGGTCCTTGCCGGTGGCGGCGCCTGCAAGTCCTTGAAAGCCTGGGGCCGCGCTGCACCACTGCAGCTTTGCGGACCTAATCCTCCTCCTCCGCCCCCTCCCCCTCCCCCTCCCCAGCCTCCAGTCCATATCTGTTTTGGCTGAAGTGCCATCTGGGGTCAAGCCAGCTGTTGCCCAAGCTCGCTCACCCCACCGATGCTCCCAAAAATGGGCATCCTTACGCGTGTGCCTACTTGAGCGCCTTCGACAACAAGAGCGTCTTCAAAGTGAACGCTGGGATGTTGTTGTTTATGCGCGCGCTGCTGATCACCTGTATTCAAAGTTTCGCCGTGGGTCTCGCGCGCTTTCGGCATTGGTGAAGAAGTACTTGAATTGTGACTACGCTGCTGCATCTTGTGGTTGGATCGGTTTTATACGCGCTGTGCCTACGTCGTGCTGATCGTCATCGCTGTTGCTTCGGAACCTTGACGCACGCGCGGTTGGCATCACAAGTCCCTGTCATGGGCTGGTGGTTTCCACTGCTCGTGGCACCAGCACGTCACGTGGCGGTGTTAGTGGTTGTTGCTCCTCCACGTTTTCTCTCTGAAGTGCTGTGAGGATCCGCCGGCGTGTTTTTTGTCAGGCTCCAGCACGGGTGTGGAGCCTCGCCCCGGTTGAAGGACCCTTCTTCGCGATACTCTACTCTTGCCGTCGCTCGGACGTCCATTTCCCGTGCATTTTTCGGTTTCGTGCGTATTTTTTTTGCTCGATGGTCCAGGATGCTCCTCCAGGGTCCTCGCCGAGAAAAAATGCACACGTTCGAGCGATGCCAAGTACACCATCGTGGCGGAACCCGTGTCAGAAGAGGCTGAATTCTGGCCAATGCCGGAAACTCCTCATCGTCATCATCCTTACTCCTCCGGCCCTGGCTCTTCACCCTCCAGACCCTTTTCCTCCTGCTCGCCCTGCTCGTCCTTCCCCCTGTGTCCTCCGTCCTGCCCCATCCCATCCCATCCTTTCCCAAGTCATCCACCCCTCGCATCGATATTCCCATGCTCCTCCTGTTCCTCCTCATCCTCGATCGCTCACCTTCAATCCTGCATCCTCCTCCGTCTACCCCTGCCCTGCAACCCTCCCACTCCTGCCCCTCCTTGCCTTTCTCCTCCTGTTGGGCCCAGCACCTGTCCAAAACGTCCCCTGCTAGGTGATTTGTCACATTGATGCCAAATCGCGGAGCCGAAAGTGACTGCTCCAAAACACTGTTTGCACAAAGGGGCTCTCGGTTGTTCTGGAAGGAATTGGAATTATAGATCGCGGGTGCCCTATCTTGCACTGGCTCCCAATGGTTGGTGCTTGATGGCCGGTGTCCTAATACTTCTCCTGATGACAGGCGGGTGGCACTCTGAGGCTGATGCAGCAGCAGGGTCGCGAGTCATCGCCCCTGCCCTGGAGCACTACGGACAGTGCTCGATGGCCTGCGCAGTAACATGTCGCGAGCTATCAATCTTGCCCTGATGCTCTACAGGTGGTGATTTACCTATACGACCGTCCTTCGGGTGATAAGGAGTTTCAGGGGGAGGAGGAACCAACGTCTCACTCGATCGGTCTCCCTATCGATCTCACGATCGATTCTCACTATCGGTCTCGCTCGATCGATCTCACTCGATCGATCTCCCTCGATCGATCTCACTCGATCTATTTCATTCGATCGATATCACTATCGATCTGACTATCGATATCACAATCGATCTCACTATCGATCTCACTATCGATCTCACAATCGATCTCACATTCGGTCTAACTATCGATCCAACTATCGATATCAGAATCGATATCACAATCAACGTCGTCATCATCATGATCATCATCAACATCATCGTCATTAACGTCATCAACATCATCATCATCATCATCATCAGCAGCAGCAGCATCATTGGGACACCATCATCATCATCGTCAGCTCATCACCATCATCACCAACATCATCATCATCATCATCATCATCATCATCATCACCACCATCATCATCATCATCATCATCATCATCATCGTCATCGGGACACCATCATCGTCACCATCACCATCACCATCACCATCACCATCACCATCACCATCATCATCATCATCATCATCATCATCATCATCATCATCATCAACATCATCATCAACATCATCGGGACACCATCATCATCATCATCATCATCAGAACACCACCATCATCATCATCATCATCATCATCCTCATCATCATCACTATCATCATCATCACTATCATCATGATACTCATCATCATCATCATCATCAACATGCTCATGAACAACAACAACAACAACAACATCATCATCACCATCATCATCATCATCGTCATCGGGGCACCATCATCATCATCATCATCACATCATCATCACCATCGGAACACCATCATCGTCACCATAATCATCATCATCACCATCATCATCATCATCATCATCAACATCATCGGGACGCCAACATCATCATCAACACCAGCATCATCACCATCATTGGGCCACCATCATCAAAATCATCACCATCACCTCATCATAATCTGCATCATCATCATCATTATCGTCATCATCATCATCATCATCTTCGGGACACCATCAAAATCATCATCATCAAATCATATGATCATCATCAACATCATCAGGAACATCAACATCAACATCATCATCATCATCATCATCATCATCATCATCATCGGGGCACCATCATCATCATCATCATCATCATCATCATCATCATCGGCAACATCATCATCATCAACATCATCATCATCATCATCGGGGCACCATCATCATCACCACCATCAGCATCACCATCATCATCATCATCATCATCATCATCATCATCGTCAACATCATCATCATCATCATCGGGACACCATCATCACCACCATCACCATCATTATCATCATCATCATCATCATCATCATCATCGTCAACATCATCATCATCATCATCATCATCATCATTATCATCATCATCATCATCATCATCATCATCATCATCATCATCATCATCATCATCATCATCATTATCATCATCATCATCATCATCATCGGGACACCGACGGGACACTGGCGGGACACTAGCGGGACACCGCGCGCCACCGGCCCCCGAGCGGGACACCGGCGGGACACCGCGGGGCACCGGTTGCTGGAAGGGAGACTTTTGGTCCAGCCGCTCCTCAGCTAAAAGAGACTTATTTCTCGCCCGCCCACGCAGCTTCGCCTCGCCCGCACGCACGGCACGCACGAACACGAAACCGAAACCGATTTCCCGGTAGGGGGGCTCTCCGTTCCACTTCGATCTCACCCCCTCACCTCCGATAACTGGTGCGCTGTGGAGGTCGCGAGCACTTTCTGTTGCTTTTGCTATGCTCTATGGGTGGTGTTCGGCGACCGGTGTATTATGGAGGTCGCGAGTCCCCATGGTCGTCATTATGTTTTATGGGTGGTGCTCGACGGTTGGTGTGTGGTGGGGTTGGTGCATAATTAAGCTTTCTTGTCATAATGACATACGAGAGGTGCTTTCTGGCTCTGCACAACTATAGCGCGACTTTCCAATCTTGCCTTGGCGCTCTATGGGTGGTGCACCATGGCTTGTGTCGTATTAAGACGCGAAGTATCGCTCTTGTCATGGCGCCTTGTCAGTGGTGTTTCATGGTTGGCGCGCTATGTAAGTCGCGAATTATCCTTCTTGCTCTGGTGATCTGCGGGTGGTGCTATCCGGCTGGTGCAGTATTAGGTCGCGAGTTCTCAGCATTGCAATGGTGCAGTGTGGGTGGTGGGCAATGGATGAAATTTGATGATCTCATTGAAGGCTGGGAAGGTTCACTATTGCCCCAGGGCTCTATGCGTGAAGCTTCATTGTTTGTGTCCTATCTCTGTAAAAGTTGCGACGATTCGTTCTTGCCCTGGTGTTCAGGATAGGTGCTGTTCTATCTTATGTACAATATGTTGTTGCAGCTTGGGTCGCATCGTGCCTACAGTGGTGCTACACGGGCTATACCCAATACGTGCTGCACAGGGTGCCGTGAAAGTCACGAGTTCTCGTTCGTACCCCGGTGCTTCATGGATGGCACTCTATGGCTGGTGACCGAATGCAACTGGAAATGGAGGGCGCGACTTCTCGTTATCTCCATGGCGCCCTTGGGATGCGAGCGTCACGACGCGCGGCGGCGCCCTGCGCGAATCTCTCCCGCAGCTGCTCGAACATATCCCGCACGTTCAACATCGACGCGCGCCCGCGCCGTCCGCGGACGAAGTTCGCCAGCTTGCGCTCCACGTCGTCATCGGCCTTCCTGCGCGGCCACCTCTGGTGCTCCGCGCACCCTCGTCTCGCTTCCTCCTGGGGCAAAAAGACGCGCCGAACCCCTGATCCACCGCCCGGCGTGCCGCGCGCAGCAGGCCCGCTTGACCTGCCACTGGAAGCGCCGCAGACGGCCGCGCCTGCACCGAGGCCGCGCAACAGGGGGGCAGGCTGCGCTGAAAGGGCTGAAAGGGAAGACCATCCTCAGAGCGAATGTAGGAACAACCAAATTCGGAACGGATCGGAACGCTCGTCGAATCGGGCCGCACCAGCACTGCATCGACATCGAGTCGGATCGGCTGCGCCAGGATGCGCAACAGCGCCACGTAAGCATCGGGCCGCAGCGGATCGCCCCAAAATCGGAACTCGGCGGTGGACAAACCTCCCTTTAGCAAACCACCCTCTAGTGCAAACGGCCTAGGACCGAAACCGACGGGAGGAGGAGGTAGGAGGAGGAGGAGGAGGAGGCGGAGGAGGAGGACCCAGACCCGCGAAAAGGACGGCCGCGACGCCCCCTCGCGGACCGAAAACGGCCCATCCGATTCGCAGACCGACGTGTCAGGGCAGGAGGTCTATCGACCTCCGAGGAATCATAATCGAATCGGGACAGCCGAGGCCGATATCGAATCTCGCCGAGCGCGTTCCACTACTCGCAAAGTGCCTACTCGCAGACGTCCTAAAAACACCTGCCTGCTCTGATGCAATGTATCGTAGATCCCCGGCGGGGGATCCAGGCCATTTGCGAGTAGTTACTTTGCGAGTACAGGGCAGGTTTTCATACATAGGATTTGTTTAAAATATATGATGCTTAATACATTATTAATGTGGGAACAAATTCATGCATGAACTCATCGTTGCTCCTGCATTCTTGATACATGATCCGCACGCGGAGCATGTGTTAAAAACGGCACTGTAGTGGAACGCGCTCGTCGAGGATCGGACCGATCGGCTCGACGTGGGCCCTGGCAGGCCAGCGCGGCTGCCCGCTCCCGGGGCTCCCGCCCCTCGGGCTCCTCGAGCCCGCGCTCGGCCTGCGCAGCGGCTGTGCCCGTGGGCCCGCGCTCACCTCCGAGACCGCGGCGGTCGCCCTCTGAGGTCCTTCGCGCGGCGTGCTGCCAGCAGTCATCGGGCTGGGCGAAAGGGGGGGATAGCAATTGAGAATCAGCTCACGTGGCTGATTTTCCCGGGGCCTCCCGGCGCCGGAGGCCGCCATGCATCGAGGAATGGGCCCCTCAGTGGGGCCGAAACCAGCTGCATGCAGCAGATTTCGTAACCCCCCCTTTCCCAATCCCCCCCCTTCGTACGGCCCGAATTAAGTCGGGCCTGTCCCTCTACAGGGAGAAGATTCAAAAAATAGTCAAAAAATAATATGGGGACGATTTTCTGACCATGCTTGAGCATTTTGGGGGGCATTTTCGGAGTATTTGTAATTTTTCGCCCAAAATCCCCCTGTAGGGGGACATGCCCGTCCTCATGCCAGCACTGACGGCACACGCGCTGGCCCTGGACGCCCGAAGTCTTCGGCGCCGGTCGTGCTCGAGCCGCGCTGTGCTGGCCAGATGCGCCTGGCGAGGCGGCTTCGCGCCCCTCGACCGGCGGCGAGCGAGGGGGGGAAGAGAGAAGGGGCGCGGGCCTCCTCGGAAGACTCGGAGGTCCCCCGGCCTTCCGAAAAGCGTCCTAAGCCTTCCCCGGACCCGAAAACGCAGGAAACTCCTCAGAAGGCGCGAGGGCTTCTGAGAAGTCCCGCCGCCTTCGGCGGTGGACAAATCTCCCTTCAGTAGATCTCCCCTTAGTGAAAACGGCCTTGGACCGAAACCGACGGACCTGGACCCGCACAAATGACGGCCGCGACGCCCTCTCGCGAACCGAAAACGGCCAATTCCTGAATCGACGTGTCGGGGTAGGAGGTCTGTCCACCCCCGACGCCGCCTTCCGAGAGGGCCTTCTCCTTCGCGCGTCCCCCCCGCGGGCGCGACCCCGGCCCGCGGGAGAGGCGGGAGGGCACGGGCTGCGGCCGCAGTCGGGGGCCTGCCTCCGACGCCTGTCCTCCCGAGGCTGCCGCAGGGGGGCCCCCCAGACTCTCGCGCCGCACCGCCCGATGATGCAAGTGAAGGGGCCCCAGGACACACAAATAAATACACACAAATTAAAAAGATTCCCCATACTTTCCCATATGTTCTGGGTTTTTGTCTTCCCCCCCCCTTCCCCTATTTTCCCACATTCTCCTGGGGGTCGACGATGACTTGTGTCTGTGTGTTTCTTCCCCTCCTGAGCAACTGCGAGCAACGGACTGCACCACAAATTTGCAGAGGGCTTCTCGTCAACACCGCGCGTGCCTCGCGCGCACTGCCGCGCGGGCCCCGCGACACACAGGCCCCGCGACGAGGCCCCCGCCGCGACCGCTGGGCCCGCGCGCACGAGCGCGGCCGGTGGAGCTTGACTCCACGGCTGCCGGGAGCCGTCTCCGCGCGCGTCGCCCTGCCCCTTAAGAACGCTTTTTTGAAGGCAGATCTGCCTTCAAAAAACCGTTCTTACAGAGTAGGCCCGCCGCGACCGCTGGGCCCGCGCGAACGAGCGCGGCCGTGGAGCTTGACTCCACGGCTGCCAGGAGCCGTCTCCGCGCGCGTCGCCCTGCCCCTCCAAGGCCCGAGCAGCGGCCAGTGACACAGCCACTGCCCACGATGGGCACTGCGTGGAAGCACTCCTCCGTCGGCCAAGAGCAGCTGCATGGAGCAGGAAGTTCGGCACGAGGTACGCGCCTTCGTGCAGCTCGCAGAAGGACCCTGGTCAGACATGCTGCTCCAAACTCTGGGTCGCCTCGAACATGACCCCAGTCCGAAGAGTCGGCTCGCGGGACACAGAGCTGGGGGCGGAGGTGGCGGGCCGCTTCTTGGCCCCGCGGGCGTCGGCGCCCAGAGCGAACGCCTTCGCCTTGCACTGCTTGACGAGCAGTTCCCTCGCGCTCTCGCAGGTGTACCCCGTGCGGAGGCAGCGCAGACAGTGGGCGGCGTGCACGCCGACCCCCCGCAACCTTGACAATCTCGTGCTGGATGCGCGCCAGCTCAGGGGCACTGTTCTTCGGCTCCTTGTGGCTCCCGCCGGAGTCGACTCTGAGGTCCGCAGCTTCGCCTCCAGCTCGAGCCAGCCAGAAGACAACGCCGTCCAAGGTGAGCGCCCTCTTCTGCCTCGCCTGGCGGAGGTCGCGCGGCTCGTGCGACTTCTCGCTATTGCCTTGGTGCCCTGTGGGGCTTCTTGGCTTCTGCACTGCGATCCTGAAGGCCGTGAGGTCTCGTTCTCGCCCTGGTGCCCTATAGGTGGTGCCGTGTGGCGACTGGCGTACGATGTGTTGAAGATTGCGTTTTCCCTATATTGCATTGGTGACCTGTGGCTAGCGCGCTATGACTGCTGCGCTATGGTGCCTTGAAGATCGCGAGTTCTCGTTCATACCCTGGTGTTCGATGGGAGTGTGATTTCTGACCTCGCTCTCGCCTTAGAGCCCTAACGGGTGGTGTTATATGGTTGGTGCCCTCTGATGTGCCTTAAACGTCGCGATGTTCCCGTTCATGCCTTGGCTCACGTCGAGAATACAATAAACAAGTGCTTAGGGGCCATGCTGGCGATCATACTCAATCCGTGAGATCGAAGCCCAGAGGAATCGATAGGAACCTATGGGAAGCTAAGCCGCCACCAGAACAAAGTGCGCAGAGGTCCCGTTCTTAACTCTCTAAGAGTAAAGGCGAGACCAGAGGAGTCCAGAGGAACCCATAGGAACCCAAGCGGCCACAAGAGAAAGTGCGACAGCCAGGTCCAATGGGGGGAAGCCCTGGGAATCCAGAGATTCCCACTACTACCGGGAAGGAAGAAGATGCGAGGCGAGAGGATGAAGCAGGAAGAGAAGCGAGGACGGAGGGGGGAAGATGGAGCGAAAGGGAGGGAGAGAGGGAGGAGCGAGGGGAAGGAAGGCGCAAGGAAATGCAAGGTGGGAGGGGGCGCGCGGGCCTGGGACGGCTTCGTGTCGATGCTCAGCATTTTCTGCAGCAGGATGCGGTTTTCTAGTTGGATGTCCGCAGCCCGGTCCTCCTGGAGCTTCTTGGTCTTGGCCTTGTGGCGAAGGTGCACGTGGTCCCTCGCAGGTGCCAAGGGACCATGCAGCGAGGTGGCACGGCCCAGGGAAACATGAAGCGAGGTGTTTCACCTGCACAGTTCCTCCTCCTCTTCCTCCTCCTCCTCCTCCTCCTCCTCCTCCTCCTCCTCCTCCTCTCCTCTCCTCCTCCTCCTCCTCCACGTCCTCCTCCTCCCTCCTCCTCCTCCTCCTCCTCCTCCTCCTCCTCCTCGTCCTCATCATCATCATCATCATCATCATCAATCATCATCATCATCATCATCATCATCAACACCACCACCACCACCACAACCACCACAACCACCACCACAACCACCACCACAACCACCATCATCATCACCATCATCATCATCATCATCATCATCATCATCATCATCAGCAGCAGCAGCATCAGCAGCAGCAGCAGCAGCCTCATCATCATCATCATCATCATCATCATCATCAGCATCATCATCATCATCATCATCATCATCATCATCATCATCATCATCATCATCATCATCATCATCATCATCATCATCATCATCGTCATCAGCATCGTCTTCATCATCGTCTTCATCATCATCATCATCATCATCATCATCATCATCATCATCAGCATCACCGTCATCATCATCATCATCATCATCATCAGCATCACCATCATCATCATTATCGTCATCACTAGCATCATCATCATAATCATCATCATCAACATCATCATCATCAACAGCAGCAGCACCGTCATCGTAATCGTCATCGTAATCGTCATCGTCATCGTCATCATCATCATCATCATCATCGTCATCATCATCGTCATCATGTTCATCATCATCATCATCATCATCATCATCATCATCGTCATCTTCGTATTCATCTTCATATTCATATGTATATTCATTGTTTAACTTCATCTTCATCTTCATCATCCTCATCATCATCAGCATCATCATCATCCGAATCAGCATCATCATCATCATCATCATCATCATCATCATCATCATCATCATCATCATCATCATCATCATCGTAATCATCATCATCAACACCACCACCACCATCATCATCCTCATCACAATCCTCATCCTCGTCCTCATCATCCTCATCATCCTCCCCATCACCACCCGCATCATCATCGTCAGCTTCACCACCACCGCCATCGTGATCGTAATCGTCATCATCAGCATCCTCATGTTCATCACCACCACCACCAGCATCACCATCATCAGCATCATCAGCATCAGCATCATCATCACCACAACCACCACCACCACCGATACCACCATCGTCATCATCATCGTCATCATCATCGTTATCGTCATCGCCTTCGCGATCGCCACCGCCATAGTGATCGTATTCGTTATCCTCATCGGCACCGCCAGTATGTACCTCATTATCATCAACGTCGTCATCATCATCAACAACATCAACATCAACATTAACATCAACATCACCATCACCATCACCACCACCACCATCTTCGTCATCATCAACATCAGCGTCATCATCAACATCATCATTTCTTCCGCCTGCTCCTGATCCTCCGTCCGTCTTCCTCCTCCCCTCTACAGTCCTCCCCCTTCCCGCGTTCCAACCTTCATGTTCCTTCCTCCCTCGTCGCTGTTGTCTCGGTACATCGCTCCTCCACTCATCTGACATGCCTTCCAACCGGTTCCCAGAAAGTTCCGATACCGATCCCCTCCCTTCCCCTTTCCTCTCTTCCCCCCACTTATCCCTCCCTAGTCCTTCCTCCCCGCTGCTCTTCTCCAACGTGTCCTCCATTCTCCCTCCTCGCCCTCCTCCCCCAAGGGCAACGCTGTCGCAAAGCCCTCGTCGAGTCGAAAGGCTCCTGAATCCTCCGTGTTTCCCCTTCCCCCCCTCCCTCATCATCCTTTCCTGCACACCTCATCCCCATCCTCACCCATCCCTCGCCATTCCTCCATATTTTCTCGTCTCCATGGTCCTCCCATCCCGTCACCCCTCACCTTCGTACTCCTTCATCGTCTCGCCTTGCCTTTCTCCCTCCCCTTCCCTCCCTCCCCGTCCCTTCTCGCACTCTCCCCTTCCCGTTCCATCCCGCCCCCTCTCCATATTGCGCAATTCCCCTCTCCCGTCCTTCCCTTTCCGTTGCTCTCTTCCTCCCGCCGCCTCCCTCCCCCCTTCCAGTCCTCCCTGCCCCCCTCCAGCCACGCCATCCTTCCCAACCCCTCTGCTACGACCCCGTCCACCCCCCCCCCTCCCACCCCATCCCAACCCCCACTGTATCACCTCCATTCCCCCCCCCCTTCATAGCTTAATTATGTGTCCCCCCCTCACCCACCACCCATCCCCAACCGTATCTCCTATTCCCTCCATTCGCCCCTCCCCCTTCCCTCCGCCCTCGTGGCGCCGCGAGCTGTCAGAGGCCGAGAGGGCTCCGAGTTTCCTGAATGTGCGGTGCTGAATGCGTCAACGACCTGTCGTTCTTACACACGCAAACAAACACACACACACACACACACACACACACACACACACACACACACACACACACACACACACGCACACGCACGCACGCAGGCACGCAGGCACGCAGGCACGCACGCACGCACACGCACACGCACACGCACACGCACACGCACACGAGCACGCGCACGCGCACGCGCACGCGCACGCGCACGCGCACGCACACATACACACTAGAACCATCGCGCGCGCTTCGCGCGCGCTCAGGTTCTAGCCCAGGCCGGGGGGGGCGCTGGACGATCTTGGACAACGCTATCAAGCACAGGCGCGCGACGGCATCTGAGGAGCTTCTGGGGTGTTCCGCATGCTTCGTCAACTGGCTGTTGGAGGCACCTCTTGGGTGCCTCTTGGGGGGCGTCTGAGGGTCCCTTGGGGGCATCGGTTCTGCAATCTGAAGCCGTCATTGGCCGTCCTGGCTGCGTGGAGGCCCGACTTGAGGCCACCTGCGGTCAGATCTTTGCGGCTCTCTTGGGCCGCCTTTGGAGCCTCTTGGGGCGTCCTGGGTCTCTCGTGGGGGCTTCTTGGAGCTCTCTTGGCGCCTCCTGGAGCCTCTTGGGGCCGAAAGCTCGGAATTCTACAGTGGCTTTCTCCCTCTGGGACCCCTCTCGGGCACGCCTTGGGGCTCTCTTAGGCCATTTTGGAGTCCAATTTTGCCGTCCTGGGCGCCTCGTGAACCGTCTTGGAACTCTCTTGGGGGCCACCTAGGCCGTCTTGGGAGCCTCTTCGAACGTGTTGGACGCGGTGAAAGCCCAACAGGCGACCATGCGAAAAGTATACGTTTTCCGATAGGAATGGGACAATTTTTGCTTCTTGGACCTCTCTTGGGGTGCCTCTCGGAACGTCTTGGGCTGATTTGGGAAGCCTTTTGGCGCCTCTGGGCTGCGTTTTGGCGCCTCCTGGGATGTGTTGGGCCGGAAGCTCAGAATTCGAGAGTGGCTTTCTCCTTCTGGGACCCCTCTCGAAGTCGTCTTGGGGTTCTCTTGGGCCGTCTTGGGGCCGTCCTGAGCCACTCGTGCGCAGCCTTGGAGCGCTCCCGGAGGCCTCCTAGGCCGTCTTGGAGGCCTCTTGGGCCGTCTTGGACGCGGTGAAAGCCCAAGATGCGAACATGCGAAAAATATACGTTTTCCCATAGGAATGGCACGATTTTTGTTTCTTGGACCTCTCTTGGGGTGCCTCTCGGAACGTCTTGGGGTGCTTTTGGGAGCCTTTTGGCGCCTCTTGGCGGCATTTTGGCGCCTCCTGGAGCCTCTTGGGCCGGAAGCTCGGAATTCGAGGTTGGCTTTCTCCGTCTGGGACCCCTCTCGAACTCGTCTTGGGGCTCTCTTCGGCCGTCTTGGGGCCGTCCTGGGCCACTCGTGCGCAGCCTTGGAGCGCTCCCAGAGGCCTCGTAGACCGTCTTGGGCGCCTCTTGGGCCGTCTTGGACGCGGTGAAAGCCCAAGAGGCGAACATGCGAAAAATATACGTTTTCCCATAGGAATGGCACGATTTTTGCTTTTTGGGCCTCTCTTGGGCTGCCTCTCGGAGCGTCTTGGAGGCTTCTGGGACCTTCTTGGTGTCATGACAGGCGTCTTTGAAGGCATCTGGAGCCATCGGAGCGCGTTCCGAAGCCGCCTGCGAACGATCTTGGACGGCGTCCGGCGGTCCGACGAGCCTCCGGGCCCCCCGGGGCCCACATTTGCGGTCGAGGTCCCGGCCCCGGGCCCCCGGACCCGGTGCGCCGTTATATGTATATACACACACAAGCACGCACACACACACACACACACACACACACACACCACACACACGCACACACGCACAGACGCACGCACGCACGCACGCACGCACAGACACAGACACAGACATTGACATTGACACAAACACAGACACAGACAGACACATACACAGACACACACACACACAAAAACACAAACACAAACACAAACACAAACACAAACACGAACACGAACACAAACACAAACACAAACACAAGCACAAATTCAAGCACAAGCACAAACACACACACACACACACACACACACAGACACACACACGCGCACACACACACACAAACACGAACACGCATACAAAAGTACGCACAAACACAAGCACAAACAAAAGCACGCAAACAAACACACACACACACACACACACACACACACACACACACGCTTGTTGCGACGGCGGCTGGGCAGAATGATTGCGCTGGCGGGAGAAGAGCAGACGTAGGGCGTACGACTTCAAATGAGGCCGCGATGCGCGTGGGGAAGAGGAGGAATCGGGAATGGACAGACCCCCTTTTAGTAAGACGTGGTTTAATGAAAACGACCTGAAGCCCAAACCTGGCGGGCGCAAGCCTGGAAAATGACGGCCACGGCGCCATCTCGAGATCCGAACACGGACAATTCACGAATCGACGTGTCACTGTTGGGGATTCTGTCCACCCCCGAGAGGAAGACCAGGCGCGGGCGGGAGGAGAGACGGAAGTCCGGCCCGCTCAGAACGCGGCGCGGCGGCGGGGCGGCGCCGGGGCCGGGGG